TCCAAATGGATACAAGGAGATGTGGGAGATGTGCACTTACATTGAGCAATAGCCACACACCCTTGTAGCACAGGGACCAGCAGAAAGGCTTCTGGGTGGAAAATCAATGCCACATTTAAGCAATGTGAAAAGGTCTGACAGAGTCAAACTAAAAGTTAAAACATTGTGCAGGCTGGGGAACAGTGAGAACAAAGCTAGAGGTGGGACAGACTGGAAGAAGTGCTTTAAAAGCACTGATTTATTTTATTTCTTTTCAGAAAAACCCCTCAGAAGTCACTTCAAGAATTTTTACTGCAGTTATGAAAGATTGATGGGTCTCAACATCATAACCTGAAATTTAGCTTTTCTTTGGGTTTCAGGAGCTCAAGAATAGCAAGATGAATTAAAGCAAAATGCGTGTGTTTCATTGAAGCATTTTGTTTCATATGTCAATCTATTATCCTTGAATCTAGCTTGTAAGCACTTCCAATTAAAAGTTGACTGCCAGATGCATGCAGTGGCTCATGCCTGTAATCCCAGCACTTTGGAAGGCTGAGGTGGGAGGCCAGGAGTTTGTTGCCAGACTGGGCAACATAGTGAGACTCTGTCTCTACAAAAAAAAAAAAAAAAGCCTGCGCAGTGTTGGCCTATAGTGCCAGCTACTGGGGAGGCTGAGGTGGGAGGGTCACTTGAGCCCAGGAAGTGGAGGCTGAAGTGAACTATGGTGGGTCCACTGTGCTCAGGCCTGAGTGACAGAGAGAAACCCTGTCTCTTTAGGAAAAAAGAAAAGAAAGTTGATTTCCATTCTTGAGAGATTGAAAGGGAGATTGATATTTCCTGCTGATTGTCTAATTTTTTTTCTTTTAATATGGAACACTTCATGAATTTGCATGTCATCCTTGTGCAGGGGCCATGCTAATCTTCTCTATTCCAATTTTAGTATATGTGCTGTGGAAGAGAGCACGGATTGTCTAATTTTTACTAAGAGCTGCTAAATCCTACCTGACTGGTGCACGGTGATTAAACAATGACAAACTGGTTGATGAAAAACGGCTCAGACCACAAAAAAAATCCTGACAAGTCTTCCAGTTAATGCTCTCAATTTGTCACTGAGACACCCTGAATGTCTCAAAAGAGTCAGAAATCTAGTGGCTCACAGCATCCGAACCTGCTCCAAGGAGAGAGACATTTCTCCAGGCAGAGAGGGCAGGGAGAAAAGACTACTAACAAGTATCTTTCTGAAATCCAGGGCTGTGTTTTCGGAGGAGGAATTGTGTCTTTGCTCCATCCCCACATCCCCTCCAGCAGGAAGACTCCTTCCCTGAATGTGGGTGTCAGTTCCCCACTTCCAAGGTGAAGCTGCCCCGAGGGCATTGCCCGCTGTTCTGGGCCTCCCGGCAGGGCGTCAAACTGAACTTTAGGGACCCTGCCCCAGCAACCAAACGACAGAGAGTTGCCAGGTGATTTCCAGACCAAAGACCTCAGGATCGCGGGAAGCAAACGCGAACGTGGCCCCCTCAGCTCAGCTTTCCACCCCGCGTAGGCTCGAACTCCCAACTCGGGTGGCCCGACAGCCCTCCTGTCGGCGCTGGGCTGTGGCCCTCCCTCCGCCATCACCCCGACCGTCACCCCATTCGGTCGCTCTGGCCTGCGGGGAGGCGGGGTGCCCTAGGGTCGCGTCTGGCAGCGTCCCCCGCAGGCGGGGCGAACCCTCAGCCGGGCAGGGTCCACTCTCCCCGGCCGGCCGAGCGGAGAGGGGTTGGCGAGTTCGCACTGACCCAAACTCCCAGGTCCAGCCTTGCGGTCCAGCCGGAGGCGCGGGCCGTGCTGTGAGGGGCGGGCACCGGGAAAGAGACGCCCCGGGGGCCTGAGGCCGCCCCCAAAAGGTGGACCTATGTTTGCATGCGGTGGGAGGCTCCTCTTTGCGTTCACTCGCCCTGGAAGGGGATAGTGAAAGGATGGAGGAGACGAGAAAGGAGAGCAGGGAAACCAAAGGGGCAGGTGCAGGCATCGAGAAGGAGTGATGGGGCCTGGGCCAGAATGGGGGCAGTGAGGAGGGACACATGTTGACAAGAGGTAAGCCCTTAGGACTTAATGTGGGCCCAGACCAGTCTAAATTGTGGGATGTCGCCCAAGGTCATTGAAATTCTGGCCTGACCTGTCTTTCCTGCTCCCCTCTGCCAGAAGCCCCCAGGCAACCACCCAGGGACCTTGCAGCTTCCCGGGGGATATGCATGCTCACACCCAGAGACTGGGCTCCCCAACTTTAAAGCTCAGCTCAAAAGTCACACAGGATGCTCTGATTCTCCCCCCTGCCCCCCCCCCACCATCCAAGTGCTCTCGGTAGCCCCGGTCCTTACTGTCCTTACGTATCCAATGGGGCTTTGTTGCTATTCAGGTGTCAATCTCCAACACCTCGCTTATTGTCCAGTACTGGGGAACAGTAACATGAAGCTTCCAGAAACAATGAGTACTTTGAAAATGGATGTGACTCATTCACTCTGGGAATCTACTACCACTGGAAAAGAATAAAGGTGTTTGATGCAATGACCCAAACTAAAAGGAACTATAGAGCTGTCAGGTCCTCACCTGACATCCCCAACTTCCTCCACAATCTATTCTGCCCCAGCTGGAAAGGTCTCTCAAAGGAGGCCAAACTTCGTGCTGAGGATACTTACAACTCTCTTGTCTCCCCAGTCCCAGTGTACTGTCATTCTGGGCAAATCTTAAAAAACTAAAAAAGTCAAGCAGCTTGATGTTAAAGGTCTCCCAGGTTCCACTGGGCTGCAGACTCAACAAAGGAACATAAAGCAAGCCTAAATGTAATGTAAACAGGGTGCCCCATGGAAAAGTTACTTTATTTTTTCTACAAGTTCTGGATAATAAAATTAAGATAGCAGGGGCAGAGTGGTGGCTCACACTTGTAATCCTAGCACTCAGGGAGGCTGAGGCAGGCAGATCGCTCGAGGTCAGGAGTTTGAAAATTAAGAGAGCAAAAAGAAATAACTAATGAATTAACTTTACAAGGTAAAATATCAGCAATAACTGATTATAATCAAAAAGGATCCCACTTACGGTAACAACAAACGTGGGAATAACAATAAAAATACGTATGAGGACTCCATTAAAAGAAAACTATATTTACAACTTGAATGGAGAAAATTTTTTTCAGATGTAAATTCTTCCCAAATTAATTTTACTTAAATTAAGAATAAAGTCCCAGTTGATGTCTGGGAGAGGCTTGAATAAATTTTATGCTGAAATTGAATCAGAAGAACAGGTAAGAATAGCTTGCATGTTTTTGAAAATGGAAAATGGGCATTTGCCTTTTATTTAAACAGACATTAATCAGTGATTAAAATGGTAAGGTACTAGAATAAGAGTAGACACAAGTACTACATTTAGTCATTAATTTTATACCATAGTTGCCTAGTATTGACCAATGGAACAGAATACATGCATTTCAGAAAACTCAAATATACAAAAAGAAAACATTAAAAGCCAATGAGGAAGAATTATCCTAACAAAGCTTGTTATTTGTAAGTATCAACTTAAATGTTCACCATCATACTAAAACGGGAACAGCCATAAAGATACCATGATTTTGATTATAAAATTGGCATAGCGTAAAAATACTCAATGCTGGGATTGGTGCACTGAGAGATGTACTTTCAGACTAATGGTAGGAATGTAAAAACAATTAGGCAGTGTCTACCAAAAATTTTTTAGAAGTTCATTCTCTCTGGCCTCTCTTTGACTTGGTAGTCTAATTTTCAATAATCTACCTTAAGGTAATAGTTTGAAACTTTTCTGCAAAAAGGCGTTCACCATATTATTTACTTTGAAAAATAGAAAGCAGATACTTGTTCAATAGGAGAATGGTTCAACTGATATGGTACATCCTATTTGAGGTTTTTGAAGAGATTTTAATGACATGAGGGAAATTCTCAGAAATAGTGTAGCATGATGGTTACAAGCCTGAGCTTAGGCATTAAATAGAATTTAAAGCTTATGTCTGCTTCTATGATCTTTGTCAAGTTAACATCTTTAAACTGTTTCCTTGTATATTTAAAAATGGGGGAGTTTACTATGAAGACTAAGCACATGTAAATAATACTATATATGCAACAAATGCTAACTTATTAATATTAAAGCATAAAATGTTAAGATAATAAGATATAAAATTTTATTTACAATGTAATATGCCTATTTTTAAATATATGATATAAACCAAAGTGTTAAGAGGAGGTTTATAGGTTTATATATCACTGGGCATTGATATCATTGTTCAATTGAATTAGCTGCTTTTTATCTCTTTTTTATGTATCTTTTTTTTATATATTTTCTATAATTAACATGTTACTTCTACAATAAGAGGTAAATAAGCACTAAATAGGTGATAACAGAATTAAGAAAGCAGTGTGTTCCAACTTAAATTGAAAACCTAGTCTGGGTGCAGTGGCTTACGCTTGTAATCCTAGCACTCTGGGAGGCTGAGGCGGGCGGATCTCTCTAGCTCAGGAGTTCAAGACCAGCTTGAGCAAGAGCGAGCCCCCATCTCTGTTAAAAATAGAAAGAAATTATCTGGACAACTAAAAATATATAGAAAAAAAAATTAGCCAGGCATGGAGGCACATGCCTGTAGTCCCAGCTACCAGGGAGGCTGAGGCAGGAGGATTGCTTGAGCCCAGGAGTTTGAGGTTGCTGTGAGCTAGGCTGATGCCATGGCACTCTAGCCCGGGCAACAGAGTGTCTCAAAAAAAAAAAAAAAAAGAAAAAGAAAACCTAATCTATCCTTATTTTCTTAAAGTTAACTAGAACTAGTCAGCATATAACTTATTTGTTATATGATGTGAATACATTAAGATGGAATTTACACTAATGCTTCTTTCACAGGTATTCCACTATAGATGATCTGGGATAATACTTCCTAATTATTCAAATCCTTGTCTAAAATAGAAAAAAAATGAATTTACAAAACACAAATTCATTTGAAAAATAAATTTAAAGAAGCAAATTTATTATTTTCAAACTGTATATTTTATAACCAATATATAAATGGGCATTGATATGCAAAATAATGTCAGTTGATAAAACATGACAATTCACAACAGGCCTATATCATATATTATTATACAACTGCAAAAATCTCTAAACACAAAATCTAATTACTAGAACCAGAAGTTGAAGGCCCATTGAAGGAATCCTTAATATTATGAGGCCTAGGTTTCAAAAAGCTACCAATTCTTGAATGGGTTCTACTCTGGAATTGTTTCTTCACTATTTCTTGTTGCATCTCTTTCAGTGTGAAATGGAACCTTTGAAATTCAGGTGTGGCATCAACAAAATCAAGAAGGTAGTCCAAACTTTCTCTAACAGAAGATAATTTAAATTCAGTCTGCTTCTCAGCTCCTCCTTTTAGAACAACTTTGGTAATCCCACCTTTTGTTTCTGGGGGACACCCCTTTTCTTTATCATCTCCATTTAACCACATCCTATCATCATCCAGCTTGGTTTCTAATTCTCCACATTTTTCAAGAATTTCTCTATAATCCCCATCTTCTAGGCCTTGAAGATCATATTCTGGTTCCTTTTTGCAAAGAAGATTTTCCCATGCATTTGCTATGGTTATTTGTTTTATTTCATCCCAGCTTTTTGCCCAGTTAAAAATTGCACTTTTTACATTGTAGATTTTAATTTTAGAAACTCCTTTTTCTCCTTTATCTTGCTCATCCTCACTTTCTTCAAAAATTACAAGACTCTCTTCAAGTTGCTTCCATCTATAAAGTCGTTTGCAGCTCAAGATCACACCTTGATTCATTGGTTGAATCAAGGTTGAAGTGTTATGGGGAAAGAACATGCATTTTATCCGACCATCCTCACTAATTAGTGATTCAGGGGAAGGGTGAGCTGGGGAATTGTCCAGAAGTAACAAGGCCCTGACATCCTCTTCATGGAATCTTAGAACATTAAGCTGGAAATGCCGGACCTCAGGTACAAAGTTTTGAAAAAACCATTCTGAAAACAATTCTCTGGTGAACCAAACATCTTTACTAGATTTATATATCACTGGTAATGTACTTGTTTCCTCTTTCACACTTTTGGGGAGGTTTGATTTTCCAATAATGATTGATTTTAACTTATGAGTTCCATCTGCATTTGCACATAAAAGGGCAGACAACCGTTCTTTGTTTATTTTCTTCCCTGGCAGGCAGATATCTTTTCTACTTGCCTGAGTATTTTCTGGCATTGACTTCCAAAAGAGGTCAGTCTCATCCCCACTGTATAGCTGAGCCAGACGCAGTTTCTCTTCTTTGATTATCATGGACAGTTTTTGTCGAAATGGCTCAACATTTTCAGAAGCTGAACTTAGGACTTGTTCGCCACATACTTTTCGGTTCCCAATTGCATGCCTGTTTCGAAATCTGAAAAGCCAACCAGTGCTTGCTTTGAAGTCTGTTCGCCCAAAACACTGTGCAAATCTCTCGGCAGCAGCCTGAAGCTCCACGCCTCTAACAGGGACACCAGCTGAGCGTTTCTGTTGGTACCACATGTAGACTGCATCATCTACATCGCCATATTTGGCTCCCGTTGTCCTCTTTCTCTTCTCAGCCCCTACTAATGGCATGTCCTGCTTCAGTACGAAGTCCAAAATCAATTTCTTATTCTTTTTAATGTCATAAAATGTTGATTTACTGATTCCAAATTCATCCATTACACTTTTAAGTGATCGTCCAGCTTCAATCCTACTTAGAACCTTCATTTTCTCCTCCAAATTCAGTGTTGTGTATTTCCCTCTCTTATTCATACTGAATGATTTTGAATAACCAACAGGAGAAAACAAAGGAAAAACCCTTACTGTATTGGAAAAAAATGTTTTAAAAAACAAAAAACTAGCTCAAAGCCCCAGAAGGCACAGGGATTTGTACTGGTGGCTAATAGGTTGAAAGGGATTATCAGTACTGAAGAGCTAGTCTGGAGGTAAAGGTCTTACGTACTCAGAAAGTTGCCATTGCCAAAGTCCTGTCTGGCTGTTACTACTGAAAGACATGAATGATCAGTTTTCGGAATCTCCCTGCTCCTTCTCTTCTCCCTTGACAAATATAGCAGCCCCAGTCAGGAATGACAGAGATACCTGCACATTTTCCCTAACTATAGAGGAAAAGAGACAAAATGAAGAGAAGAGGCATTCAGTGAGATGTGCCCACAAGAAGAGTCCAAGGTAGGATTAGTCTCAATAAAAAGTGATGGGTGAAAAGAAGGGAGTGTAAACGACTTAAAGGCAAGAACAGAGTAACCTTGTATAGCAGAGATGTATGGCTTCTCTCCTTCCAAGAAGACCTGATTTTACCACACTGCCAGAAAAAAAATGGTACTCATATTGCTCTGTATGTAGTGTTTGTTCACTGGGTAGCAGTTCATCTACCTGGATAAAGACTACAAGCTGCAAGGACACTGAATTGGGGTGTCTGGAGGGCTGGAATTTGGGAACAGTCATATAGAATCTTGAAAAGAAAGTAGTTTCTGTTGTACATATGAATGAAATCCAACTTTTACTGCATTCACTATAGCATTCTCACAGACTAAGCTTTAACCTGAGTGCCTCTTATATTTGCTAAGGTAATTTCTAAGTACATAAACAATTTAATATATTTGTTAGTGGCATTTTTCCACTCTTAAATCTTCTTCCTTGGGTAAATGTGATGTATTCTTGAGTGTCATTTTTCACTGAAACTATTCTCTATTTGAAATATTAACAAGTTTCAGAATCATGGCAATTCTTAGAAATGAGCCCCAAAATTTTACAAATATTTTACCATACTTTCAAAATTTAAAAGATCTGTCTTCATTTGTTTTCCTAAATTTATCTTAGGGATTTCAGTAACATACTTTTCATGTTTGAACTTTTATTTCTCTTCAGTGTATATTTTACTTAATTTGAACCAAGACTCAATTTTTCCACAGCCTGAAGAAATCTAAAAGGTTTCTATACTGGTGTTTCTGATCAATTCTTTCCCATAAATCCTTCTCTTAGAAAACTCTTCTATTGCTCTGTGCTCTCAAATATTCCTTTGAGGTCCTCCTGTTGCTGCTCAAAGCCATTCCAGGTCCTTAGAAATGTCCTAGTTTCGATTAATTTCATGGTTCTCATTCCAGATACACAATCTCATGGGAAGAAACAAAAACTGCCACTTTTATCCATTCCAGGTGCTATGAAGAAAGAAAAGTATGTCAGAGAAATGAGGAAAATGATTATCTCAGTTATTCTTTGTCTTCTTTAGGGCAAAGCCTGACAGCCCCATTCATTCCCCAACTATTAATACATAGAGTATTGTCAAGTCTCTCATCTAGGAACCCAGAAGAGTCACACCATTGGTTTTCCTCTAACATTTATTGCAAGAAATGGCAGGTTTGGGTTATGGGGCACTGAAAAGATCATGAAAGAATATGATAGTAATTAAGGGATAGAGCCAGTGACAGGCTAAGATCAAGCAGTTTTATAATACAGGCAGTTTTTACTAAGGCAATTATTAAAGGTAACTTTTATGAATGGAAAAAGAAGAAAAAAGTATTTTTAAGCCAGTAGTAGCACCATTAACTCCAGCCAGTCACCCAGCAAAAATATTCAGTGCACTGGATAATTGTGTGGGTCTCTCAGAATTAATTCAGTGTATTTGCTTTCCTTGTTTCTCAGCTGTACATTCATCACTTCTGAAAGTGCCCAAGTGGGGAGATGAAGCAAAAGGAAAGACTCAGGGAATTTTTGTGGGCTCCACAGTAAGAATATGCAACTCTGGCCCAAACCACACAATGAAAATCATCAGTGCCTCCTTCCCTACTCACAATGTGTGTCTTGCTGCTTCTTTCCACAGGGTCTCTTTTCCTACTTCCTTCTCCCTTCAACCAACTCTCTACCTATGTTATGAATTAGGTCTGTCAGTGACAACCAAGGGCATTGCTGGCCAGACTTCATTTATTCAACTTAATTCTAATTATATGCTCAGCATTGGGCCAGATGATGAGACTCTCACTGTCAAGGACATTACTGTCCATTAGTTCTAAGAGACTGGGAACAATAATTACTTTTGAAGAAATTAAGTCTCAACCTGACTGACAGTCTAAGGAAATCATGATTCTAATGAACCTGCTTTGACACATATGCAAGTGACTTAGGCAGATGTTCATTATTATTGTCTCTTTTTAGTCTCTTTCTCTTACTTAGAAAGGATCAAGATCTATGCCTTGGAGAAGTATGTTACCATCTATCCAAAAGCAAAAATAGCATAATGGCTTGGTAATGGCCTCTGATCTTCGTTCTCACCTTAAACTTACCTCAGATGAACTGCCCTAGAAAGAAGTTCCATCAAAAACCCTCAATGGTGGTTTGAGATTTACTTTCTTAAACGTAATCTCATTCCCATTCAAAGGACTCCAGTATAAGGTCCACATGAACTTATTTTCTAATTTTTTAAACTCTTCCTCTAAATAAATGTAGCCCAACTCAGTAAAAACGTACTACAGATCATTTCAGCTTTCAAGCCTTTGCTCTTACCCTCCCATGTGTCTGAAATGTATCCCCACTTCCTGCTGTGGGCAAAATTTCTCAAGGTCTTTTATAATTTTCCCCAACTCAAAATCAACTTTTATTCCTTGGAGTTCTCACAGTGTTCAGCTGATGTTTTATTACTACCTTGTGTTACAGATATTCGTGAAACTGCTTCAGTCCTTTTATTAGATTGCTTAAGGACAAAGATGTCTTACTCCATAGCCCTGGCTATACATAGTAAACTTTAAAATCCTTGACTAGTATAGGCTAACATTACAAAGAAATTAATAATCTGGAGATCACTGACAACCGCAAATACTCAGATTCTTATAACTATTCAGGAAATACTTATAGAATGCCTATCTTACCCAAGTGACTATGCTAGACACTGCAAGAGATACAAGATGAAAACAAGATTCCCATCTTCCAGGGAAGCATACGGTAGTGGAAAAGGCAGAAGATATTACAAGAGAGCTACATTCCAGTTTAGCAGCTGCCACTGGTAGGTGGACTATGTGACTCTGAGCAAGTCACTCCTGAGGTCTCAATTTCTCTGTCAAGGAGCAATATAAATGGAACCTATTCACACGTTAAAAACACACAAGAAAAATAAACATAATAGTTGTGAGAAATGCGCCAGACGACCCAGAAACGGTGCAAATCCCTCAGGGGCCATAGTTCCTGATCTAGCGACTGGGCTGACCGGGGCAAAAGTGCGTCTTCCTCGAGGAGGCTGCGACGAACCCAGCAAAGGCAGCTCAAGCTCGGACGGCTGGGCCGCAGGAAGCCGGGGAGCGGCGCGCTCAGTGGGGAGGCAGCCCCTCGACACCCGGGCGGCGACCCTTACCGGGCGAGGCTCCCGGTGACCAGACGCCGCCGGCCAGCCCCCGAAAGTCACGCAGGAAAGATGGGGACGCGCGACGCCTCCCACAGTGGGGACACGACACAGCGACACCCACGCGACGAGCCGGTGCGGGGCCTTCTAGGCTTCAGCTGGCCCGAAGACTCGCCTCCGCGGCCGTGCCGGGCTAGCGGCTGGTTCCCCGCGGAGGGAGAGAGGAAGGCAAGAGCACTCGCCACCGCGGCCGGACCGGCTCCTGCGCTAGGGGCGGGCATCCACCCGGCCGGACTACGCGAAGCCCTCGGCAACGCGTCACTTCCGCTTCCGGTCTGCGCGCGGGCTCTCCACCGCGACTGAGGTGCGTAGGGCCGGGCTCCCGTCCCTCAGGGGCCGAGAGGGGCTGTGTGGACGCCGGCGGTGCCAGGCCTCCGTCCCCAACGCTGGCTGCCGCGCGCCTCGCCACACCCGCCTCCGAGTGGTGCGGGGCGGACAGCTGCGCTCCTCAGAGTGGCGGTGGCGGCTCGCATCTGAGCCTGAGAAGGCTGGAAGGGGCCTCCACGGAAGCCGACCTGTCCGAGGTAATAACCGAGAAGCTGCTTCCCCTTGGGCTTCGGCTCCGGAGTCCCCCGAGCGGTAGCGGCCGCTTCCAGAAGGGCGGGGGGAGGCTGCCATCTTCCGCGGGCGGCGGCCCGGGCCGGAGGCAGGGCCGCGGGCGGGCTCCGGAAGCTGTTCTCGCGTCCCGTCGCGCGGCTGCTGCGCGGGCGGCGGCTGGAGCTCGCTCGGACACTGCGCGCCTGCCCCGTGCCCGCGGGCGCGCCCGTCGCAGACCGAGGCGGTGGCGAATCCCAGTGGGGGCGGGCAGTAGTGTCTACCGCTGCGCCCGGAGACGCTGTCCAGCTCCCGCTGGCGTTTCTGTGGCTGTGTTACTACAGGCGGACAGGTCAGTTCTGCCTAATGCTGGTGCAGAAACACAGGAACTGCCCCCGTGCCTCCGGAGCCGCGGTGGGCAGCAAAGAGCCAGCTATTTCTTTGAATACTGGTGGCATCCTAGGTAGAATTTCGGTGCTGTTTCTGGCTCACCGCAGGGAAAGTGAGGCTTACAAGACCATCCTCAGCCCCACTTAAGGTCTTAATGGCCTTTGAAGAAGTACAAAGTCAGCAGAAGGATCACCTGAATCATCACCGACTCATTGTTGCCTTTTAACGACTTGATGTTTTTGTAAACAAAGCCCAGCTGTAATTTTTTCCAGGTCAAGTAAACAGAAATTTTGCATAAATCATCTGCTTAGTGCCCTTTGTACGTCTTGCAGGGAAGAGTATAAGCATCTACTTGCTTAGTTGAGAGACACTTTCTGAGAAGAATAGGCTATTTTTCCCCCAAATGACCTTCCTTCTGTAGTAGACACCCCCAATCAGTCGTTTCAGTTATCCATGGTCAACTACTGTCCGAAAATATTAAATGCAAAATTCCAGAGATAAACAATCCATGAGTTTTAAATAACTTTTATTACAGTATATTGTTTTAATTTTTTGTTTTGTGAGTATTGTTAATCTCTTGCTGTGCCTAATTTATAAATAAATCCTTATTGTAGGTGTGTATCCATGGAAAAAACAATGTATATGTGGTCTGCTATTTGAGGTTTAGGCATCTGCCAAACATCTTGGAACATATGCCCCATAGATAAGGAGGACTGCTGTACTTTGGGCTCACTGTCTCAGGTCTCCTGCCAGTATTCATACTGTGGAAAAGATAATATCAAGTGCTTTTTGAAGTGAAGGCTTCCATCTTCACAAGAGGATGAAGAGTCATAGAAGTTGTACCCCCTTACTAAAGACAGAGACTGGGGTGATCTATTAAAATTTAAAAGAAACTCAGAATGTTTTTCTAGTCTTATTTTCTCCTACTCTTCCCTTATGGGGATAGTGGAATAGGAGGCACACCAGTGAAATCTTTGGGTAATCCCCAAAGCTCCTTTCAGCCAGTGGGTGCCAGTTTTCTTACATACCAGCCTTTCTTGAATTGTTTTCTGTTTTTTTTTTTTTTGTTTTTTTTTTTGAGACAGAGTCTCACTTTGTTGCCCAGGCTAGAGTGAGTGCCGTGGCGTCAGCCTAGCTCACAGCAACCTCAATCTCCGGGGCTCAGCGATCCTCCTGCCTCAGCCTCCCGAGTAGCTGGGACTACAGGCATGCGCCACCATGCCCGGCTAATTTTTTGTATATATATATTTTTAGTTGGTCAATTAATTTCTTTCTATTTTTGGTAGAGACGGGGTCTTGCTCAGGCTGGTTTCGAACTCCTGACCTCAAGCAATCCGCCCACCTCAGCCTCCCAGAGTGCTAGGATTACAGGCGTGAGCCACCGCGCCCGGCTTGTTTTGTTTTGTTTTTTTTAAAGGGCAAAGTCATCAACTGGAATTTGTCTTCTCTCAGCTGTGCTGTGCTTCAGGTGAATAATAGAAGAGAAGAGAAACAAAGGGCCTGGTAGTTGATTTTTTTTTTTTTTTTTTTTTTGAGACAGAGTCTCACTTTGTTGCCCAGGCTAGAGGAGTGCCGTGGCGTCAGCCTAGCTCACAGCAACCTCAATCTCCGGGGCTCAGCGATCCTCCTGCCTCAGCCTCCCGAGTAGCTGGGACTACAGGCATGCGCCACCATGCCCGGCTAATTTTTTGTATATATATATTTTTAGTTGGTCAATTAATTTCTTTCTATTTTTGGTAGAGACGGGGTCTCGCTCAGGCTGGTTTCGAACTCCTGACCTTGAGCAATCCGCCCGCCTCGGCCTCCCAAAGTGCTAGGATTACAGGCGTGAGCCACCGCGCCCGGCCTTGGTAGTTGATTTTGAAGGGAAGGGAAGGACAGGATCTTTTCTGTTCATTTTTCTCTAGCAAGTAATAAGGTTCATGTGACTTTGTTACTGACATGTACACTTCTTTTGCCCCCAGTGCCTTTAGGAAGAAGATCTTATTTATTTTTTACCAGACCAGACGGGACCTCAGTTGTTAAAGGTGGCACCAGTTGGGTGTCTGACACACGAGCAAAACTTCCTAGAGCAAAATGATGATGGTGGATCTGAAGGTGGCTGAGTATTTGGACCCAGAGATCAAGGCTCTGTGGGAGACCAAAGAGCCTGTGAGAGTGAGCTCCAGTCACAGTAAAAAATCTACACACACAGACAGTCTTGATCTCAAGAGACCTTGCTGGCACTTCCGGAATTTCCACTATCATGAAGCAGCTGGACCACGTGAGGCTGTCAGTCAACTTCAAGAATTATGCCATCTTTGGCTGAGGCCAGAGATCCACTCAAAAGAGCAGATATTAGAACTGTTGGTGCTAGAGCAGTTCCTGACTATTCTCCCCAGGGAAACACAGACTCAGATGCAGAAGCACCATCCACAGAGCATTGAGGAGGCTGTGGACCTGGTAGAACACTTGCAGAGGGAATCTGGGCAAACAAGGAATGGGGTGAGAAGAAAGATTCCTGTCATATACAGTGCAATAGGATGAAGGTGGATATAGTGAGGGTGAGGGCAGTTAATTGAGAAATGAGATGGATTATGTCACCATTTTGTTCTTTCTTTAGGACTGTTAAGGTGGCACTCAAAGCTACAAGCCCACAGGAAAGTCAGTCCATAGGTTTCAGAAATTGTGATAGACTTTGCTGGCTTTAGAAAAAGTGTAGCTTTTTGCTGTCTTTGGAGCCAGGGTGAATTGAGGGTGATGGGCCTAGTCTGGTTTGGCCAAGGAGACAGGACTTGATTTCTTACAAACAGAATTAGAAGGCAACAAAGTGTCAGGTAGGAGAGGGCAGATCCAAAAAGGGGAGTATACTTAGAGACCAAAGGAGAGCAAGGACATTAAAGAGAGTGAGAAATAAAACAGCTAGGGGAAGACTGCAAAGGAAGAGAAAAAGAAAGAAAAAAGGGAAACAAAGATTTGGAAAAGAAAAATCCTAGCAGAATAATGAGGAAAAGACGCCAAGAGGTAGTGTCCTCCCTTTAATAGATAAGAGCCTCTACTGCCCTCCCTTAATGTTTGGTTTTTGGCTTTGCTGACAAGTAGGGAGTGAGGGTATGCCCTTGGGCAGATGGCAACACCTGCTGGCCTTGGGCCTGCTGTGAAGAATACAGGGCAGGACATATGTTTGGTGTCAAAATCATTTAGAGGTTGGTTGGAGCCACTCTTCCTGCCCCTTTTTTCTCTATTCTATCCTCATTCTCTGTGAAACCCTTCCTGGCCATAGGGAAAATAATGGCTGAGAGGAAAATTTTTTTATTTCTTTAATTCTTAGAAGAACTTAAAAGACAGAAAAGCACTAAAGTGGGGATCTAAGTCAAGATAGAAGGCCTGATAAGGCAGCATGAGAATTGGCGGCGTGCCCAACCCTGCTAGTAGCTTGAGCGGGACTGTATGCAGTGAAGAGGCTGCTGTATTGGAGGACTGGCAGTAGCCACAGCTTTTATCCTTTTACTATGTTTTTCTCAGATGTATAGATAGTTAATGAAACATTGATGGCCTAATTTCTCTTTAAAGCCCTTTGTCATTTCCTTTACTTTCTCACACTTCCCACAATGTTGGCTGTATATCTTTTCCTCCTTCTACCTTCTCCCTTCCCCCCACCAAACCGAAAGTCTTGTAGTAATGAGGATGGGGATTATTTCTAGGTTGCAGTCCATGAGCTGGGAAAGGAGACAGTGCTGTTGGGAGAAACAGCAGAGGCCCCAGGCTTCAGGTCAGAGCCAGCAGAGTCCCATCCAGTGAGCGATTCCCAGGATGAAGAATTTTGGAATACATGCCAGGGTCTACAAGAACAGCTGAACAGGAATACACATAAAGAAACTGAGCCTGTGTATGAAAGGGGTAAGGAGCTTCATGATAATTTCCTTCTCCTGGGAGCTGTGACAAATAATTAGTTCAGCCAACATGTCATGGGCATTTTTTGGGTACCCAGCTCTATGGATTTGTAAAAGCAGCCACAATAGCAGTTAAGATGTCCTGCAGGTAGCAGTAGAATATACCAATTGTGGGTGAAGCTGGAGGTTGGCCTAAGGTACAGAAATACCTAAACCACAGAACTCTGGTAATAACACTATGAACTCTGTTCCTGAGAGAAAAATGGAGAGGAGGGAAAGAGATGGAGTTGGAAAGCTTGGGGCTACCTCATCATGAAATAAAGAAGTATTTGGGATCAGAAATGGGTTATTAGTTGCAGAATGTGAAAACAATTGTGTACCAGGAAAAAAAAAATAAAAAAAAAAACTTCATCTCCTACCATACACTGGAGTCCCTGAGTACTTCATTTTAAAATACTTTTAATTTTTGTCTAACTCAGAAAAATATATATCATGAGAAACATAAAAAGGTATGTTTTTTTTATTTCTCATGAAAACTGAAGAAACTGTCAACTGGGCAGCTGGTTCTAGGGGCTGGTAGATACTTGGTTCTTATTTATGAGGAGGGCACTTGTGGCATCACACACAACACACAGTGTCCCATCAGGATGTTCATAGAAATGAGAGATTTCCTCTGGCTCTTTTCTACCCACAGCTGTGCCTGCTCAACAGATTCTAGCCTTTCCTGAGCAGACAAACACCAAAGACTGGACAGTGGTACCTGAGCTCCTCTTGCCTGAGTCCCAGGTGAGCTGTGCTTTCCAGCAGTTCAGGGCGGCCTTTCCCTGTTGCTCGTGATTCTTAGAGAGGTTTGTTAGCCCGTGTGTTCTCCCCTGGGGAACTGGGTCTCTCCCAGGCTGTTTGCTGATCCCTTGGCTCCTTCCTCTCTGCCTTCTAACTTTTTATAAACATCATGTACTGGTCATTTCTTCAGAGTCTGACCTAGCATGCAGTTCATAGCCAGGTGGTCGGGCTGCTTCTGCAGTGGCAAGTTCTGAGCTGAAGTCAATTCTCTTCTTTAGAGCTTGTTGACATTTGAAGAAGTGGCCATGTATTTTTCCCAGGAAGAATGGGAGTTACTGGATCCCACTCAGAAGACCCTCTACAATGATGTAATGCAGGAAAACTATGAGACTATCATCTCTCTAGGTAAAGATCCTCCCTTCCCTTTGTGTAGAAGTTGGTGATCTATCTTGTTCAGTGGCTGAGAATGAACCCTGTGAGAGGGTCTTACTGTTCCAGTAGCTGGTTGGTTCTCAACTAGATGGTGTTGGGGGAGGGAGAAGGTAGTATATCCAGGTCACCTGGGAAGCCTTTTCCATGTGCACATGCTCATTCCTTATCCTGGGTAGAATTCTTGATCCCTAACCTGCTCTTGTCCCCAAACCTGCTCTGCCATGTCTTTCCCATCTCGATAAGGGCACCACCAGTATCCTATTGTTCAGGGCAGAAAATGTAGTCATCCTTTAATCTGATCGTGCTCTCATACCCCACTATTAATCCCTTAGCAAGTTCTCTTAGCTCCACTCTGACATACCCTGAGTCCAACAATGTCTCAGCTTCTTGCACTGTTAGCATCCTGGCCTAAGCCAGAGTCATCTCAAACCAGGTCTAGTTTAATAGCTTTCTAACTGGCACCCCTGCCTCTATTCTTGCCCTCACACCGTCTGTTTTCTACACAGCAGCCAGAGTGATCTTTTAAAAACCTAATCAGATCATGGTATTTCCTTTCTTCAGAAGCCTGCAGTCAGTTCTTAACCATATTCAGAAAGAAATCTAATCTCCTTTCCAAGGGCCGAGGACCCTCCACCCTCATCTGCTACTCACACCCCTTGGCCCTTGCTCATTCCTCTGTAGCCACAGTCTTCTTGCTATTATTTGAACTTGTCAAATTTATTTCTACCCTCCTGTTGCCTTTATTTGGCACATTGGAGTTCCTGAGTACTTCATTTTCAAACATCTCTAAGTTTTGCCCAAATAGAACAATTTATGTCATGCAAGGGAAAAAAATACTGTTTTTGACTTCATTCTTGAAATCAGGACAGTCATCTAGGGAACTGGTTCTAGGGGCTGGTAGTTAGTTGGTTCTAATTTATAATTAGAAAGCCACTTCTAGTCCCCTCCCACACTCTTATAAAGGTGTCCCATCCTTACTGAGAGAATTAGTATCTTCTGTATTTTAGAAATGAGCTCAGGATGTTCATAGACAGAAACAAGAAATTTCCTCTGGCTCTTTTCCACCCACAGCTGTGCCTGCTCAACAAATTCTAGTCTTTCCTGAGCAGACAAACACCAAAGACTGGACAGTGGTACCTGAGCTCCTCTTGCCTGAGTCCCAGGTGAGCTGTGCTTTTCAGCAGACCTTACCTACCTTTCCCTGCTGCCCAAGACCTACACTGCCCAGCAGGTTCCCTGAGGCATCTTAGCCCCAGAGGTTCTATCCTAGACAATTAGGCTTGGCCCAGGGGGAACTGAGTCCTTCCCAGGCTTTTTGCTGATCCCTTTTTATAAACATCATGTACTGGTCATTTCTTCAGAGTCTGACCTAGCATGCAGTTCATAGCCAGGTGGTCGGGCTGCTTCTGCAGTGGCAAGTTCTGAGCTGAAGTCAATTCTCTTCTTTAGAGCTTGTTGACATTTGAAGAAGTGGCCATGTATTTTTCCCAGGAAGAATGGGAGTTACTGGATCCCACTCAGAAGACCCTCTACAATGATGTAATGCAGGAAAACTATGAGACTATCATCTCTCTAGGTAAAGATTCTCCCTTCCCTTTGTGTAGAAGTTGAGTGATCTATCTTGTTCAGTGTGCTGAGAATGAACCCCTGTGAGAGGGTCTTACTGTTCCAGTAGCTGGTTGGTTCTCAACTAGATGGTGTTGGGGGAGGGAGAAGGTAGTATATCCAGGTCACCTGGGAAGCCTTTTCCATGTGCACATGCTCATTCCTTATCCTGGGTAGAATTCTTGATCCCTAACCTGCTCTTGTCCCCAAACCTGCTCTGCCATGTCTTTCCCATCTCAGTAAAGGGCACCACCAGTATCCTATTGTTCAGGGCAGAAAATGTAGTCATCCTTTAATCTGATCGTGCTCTCATACCCCACTATTAATCCCTTAGCAAGTTCTCTTAGCTCCACTCTGACATACCCTGAGTCCAACAATGTCTCAGCTTCTTGCACTGTTAGCATCCTGGCCTAAGCCAGAGTCATCTCAAACCAGGTCTAGTTTAGTAGCTTTCTAACTGATACCCCTGCCTCTTACTCTTGCCCCACAGTCTGTTTTCTGCACAGCAGCCAGAGTGGTCTTTTAAAAACCTAATCAGATCATGGTATTTCCTTGCTTCAAAAATCTGTGGTCACTTACTTTCAGAAAAAATCCAAACTTCTTACCAAGACCTCCGGACCCTCCAGGATCTGGTTCCTGTTCACCTTTGTGCCCTTGCTCAGTTCCTCTTTAGCCATGCTGGTTGTCTTGCTGTTACTGGAACTTACCATGCTCATTTCTGCTTTCCCTTTTCTTCTCCCTGCCACACTTTTCTACCACATAGTGAAATTCTCACTTTCAGGTCTCTGCTGAAATATGTCTTTCTCACAGAGGCCTTCCGCATAATCTTATCTAAAATAGCTTCACAGGAGTGGAATTTTGTGATGCTCTTTTACCAGTTCAGTTTTCTTCAACACACTTATCACTTCCTGACATTATTTTGTTTGTTTATTGATGAATTGTCTCACTCTCCTACTAGAACGTAAGCTCCATGAAATCAGGGTACTTTGTCATCTTCACCACTATATTCCCAGCCCATAGGTCAGTGCTTAGCACACCATAGCCACTCTGTACATATTTATTGAATGAATGAATGTGAATGAATGACAAACAGTCCCATACCTGGTCATCTGTATTTAGAGTCTGTTTCCTCTACCTGCATGTGAGCTGGGGATCTATAGGAATATTAAAAATCTATCCTAGTTCAGGGCCTGGGACTAAATAAATAAAAGCAAAGTAAAAACTAACTAATAATGATAGATCTATCACTTGTGCCTATGATACTGAACCTATTGGCTCTGCTATCACTGATCTAATATAGGATGAAGCCTAAAGAGTTAATAGGACCAGCCTATATTCCCCATAACCTCTGGTGCTTGGTTCACCATTGGTTGAAGATGGGGTATTCTTAGTGCAGAAGAGGGAGAATATGTGCTGGATTCCTGTTCCCTGTATCCTCTTCATTGATCCACCTTAGGTTTATTTCTTAGTCTCTACTTTGCACATCTACTCATAAGTACAGTATAGCGTAAATATCATACTAGATTGTAAATTCTATCGATTTAACCATTTGGGGTAACAAACTATAACAATGTCCTTTGGTTTCCTGAAATAGTCAGGAATTTGTGTACTAATTCACTGTTAAGTTACCAGTCCTTGACCTCATTTTGTCCATTTCACAGCATTATTTGTGCTTCCCAAACCTAAAGTGATCTCCTGTCTAGAGCATGGGGAAGAACCGTGGGTTCAAGTATCCCTGGAGTTGAAGGACAGTGCTGGCGAGTCCTCTACAGGTAAAGACACCACGGGAAGAAGAGAAACGTGCCTTGATATGAGCCTTTACAAGGGCTTAACGTTTTAAGATTCTACTCCTCTGTTTTAAAATTGATCATTGAAGTTTTCTTTCCATTCCTGTGATTTTCTGGTTCTGGGATACACATAGCTGATTCTTATATTTATTCTAGCAGGGTTAAAGCTCAAACGTGACACTGAAAATCATCAGCCTATGTCTCTTTCTGACTTGGAAATACAAGTGCCAGTAGGCATAGTACCAAAAAAGACCAAAGTGAAAATTTCCCAGAAAACAACAGGCAAAGAAAATCATGGTGATATGCACAGAGTGGGGAAATGGCGCCGAGATTTTCCAGCGAAGAAAAGAAAGAAACTTTCAACCTGGAAACAAGAGCTGCTGAAACTTATGGATCTTCACAAGAAAAGCTGTGCAGGAGAGAAGCCATTTAAATGTCAGGAATGTGGGAAAACCTTCAGAGTTAGCTCTGACCTTATTAAGCACCAAAGAATTCACACTGAAGAGAAACCCTATAAATGTCAACAATGTGATAAGAGATTTAGATGGAGTTCAGATCTTAATAAGCACTTAACAACACACCAAGGAATAAAACCATATAAATGTTCATGGTGTGGGAAAAGCTTCAGTCAAAATACAAATCTACACACACACCAAAGAACTCACACAGGAGAAAAGCCCTTTACATGTCATGAATGTGGAAAAAAATTCAGTCAGAACTCCCACCTCATTAAACACCGGAGAACTCACACGGGTGAGCAGCCTTATACCTGTAACATATGCAGGAGAAACTTCAGCAGGCGGTCAAGCCTTCTTAGACACCAGAAACTTCACTTGTGAAGGGAAGCTTGTCCAGTGTCCTCATTCTGAAGAAATTCACCAAATGCAGCTTAACACTAAAGTTTATGAAAAAATACAAAAATCATGAAGCATGAGGAATTTTTCATTATTGGAAAATTTGGGGGTATAAACGTCGTATTTCACAGAAAGGAATCAAGATTGGCTCTGCAGGGGGTACACTAGTAGTTGTACTACTTACTATTTTTACTTTTAACCGTCAGGGAATTCCTTAGCAGGAGAGGTTTTAGGAGAATTCTGAATAAGGGGAAAGGCCATTTTGGGATTCTCTCTGGAAAGATAGAAAATTTGGTTACAAGTAGCAGATACAGCCAATCAGTAGTCTTCTGTGACCATAGAAGTAAATATTGTTGGTTTTGCATTGATCTTCCTAGTCACTCTTGAACATGTACAGTAGTAACATTTGTAGCATGGTCTTCCAAAACAGAAAGCAATAACATGCATGTTTGTTTAATTGCATACCATTCTCTTCAGGGTAGTAGGTTTACCAATTTCAGTAGTGTTGGGGAGCAGAAATGAATTCTAATGTACAGGTTTCAAGAACCAAATTGGATTTTCTTCATTTCTTTTGTCATTGGACACTGTTTACAAAGTTGGAAATCATTTGAGTTCCTTCTTGAACTTTTTAGTAACTTCTGCTCTTGAATCTTTTTGTAACAATTTTTACTGATGAAATCATATTTCCTTTACCACTGGGAAATCTGCCAGATGAACTAATAATGCACTATTTTATGCCTTTGATTGGTGGTGTTTGGAAAATGGAAACATCTCTAATGAGATCATATGGAAACTGGTTGGAATTTGTACCCATGGAATATATATTAGACATAAAGAAGAATTTTCTACGATAAAAGAAACTGGACTTGTTTCCTTACCTCACAGTGTCAGTCGGATAAAGCAGCCATAAAAATTAGCAGTTCCCCAAGGCCTCAAAGAAAATTAATGGGCGTTCAGGATCATCTCAGGTTTTTGTTTGTTTACTTCTAAATTTAGCCTTTGTTTGTTATTGAGAACAAGAGACTCAGGTTTGTGTGGGAACTGGAGTGTATGTGCTGCACGCAGGATCCTGTGGCTCATGGCATGGAGACCTGGGCATCCAGTCAGTAAGAGACTGGGTTCTTGAGAGGTTTGGAAACTGATGCTGAGTGTTGGGCAAGGATTAGCAAATCCACATCCATGTTGTTTTGTCTTATACTGTAAGCTATACCTATCTCTGTTCTCTCCAGCACAGCATTTAACAGCAGCCTCAGGTAATAAATTCGATGACTGTTGAAAGTCTGTATAGCTATGGATTTTCTTATAACTTACTTGTTTAGCCTCAGCTGTGACTCAGGTGTGTTATTCTTAGAGCTTTTAGGTATATCAGGAAAGGGATTAAAGAAATTATCTCTTCCAAATCTTTTATTTTATGAATGAGGAAGTTAATGTTCAAAGAGGTGCAAAGTACTGGCTTAAGACCCCATTGTAAGAGGGTGTGTTAGCTGTCGCTTAGCTTCAGTCAGGTATGGCAGGAATAAGCAAGATAAGTTTGTTATCCCTGCACAAATAGTGTGGATAATATAGTGTTGTATCTCTTCCTAGCTTATAAAACATTCTTGTTTTTTGATTGGTTATTGAAATAAATCTCCATTATCTTTATAAATAGAGATAACATTCAATTCAGGGTTGTTCCGGAGATTAGATGGATTGATGAAAGTAAAGCACTTGTCCAGGTGTGGTGGCTCACTCCTGGAATCCTAGCACTTTGGGAGGCCCAAGCAGGATGATCACTTGAGGCCACAAATTTGAGACCAGCCTGGGCAACATAACAAGGCCACATCTCTTTAAAAAAAATAATAATAATTAGCCAAGCATGGGGTGGCACATGCCTGTAGTCCTAGCTGTTTGAGAGGCCGAGGCAGGAGGAGTGCTTGAACCCAGGAGTTTGAGGCTGCAGTGACCTATGCCACTGCACCCTAGCCTGGGCAACAGAATGATACCCTGTCTTAAAAAAAAAAAAAAAAGCAAAGCACCCTAAAACAGGTCCTGGCCTACCGTAGATGCACAATCAGTGTGCGTTTCTGTCCCTTTCATCTGCTCCGTAGTGTTAGGTTAGGCTGACTGACTGCATTAAAGAGGCAAATGCCTCTAGAGACACCAGGAATGCTGGACAGAGATGTGTCCTTGGGGAGGCAGATTCCTCAAAATCCCTACTCATTTCTATGTGACAAACTCACTGATCTTCCGCAAACGCCACTCTCACCACTTTTCCATTCATAAAGCCTCAGCAGCTTCCCAGTTCCCACGTGTTAAGCTTGTTTAGCTGCCTAGTTTGGCCTCAAGGCCCTTCATCAGCTGTACTCACCCCATAAACAACCCTCTCTTTTCCTCTTTACCAGTTCACTTACTCTCCAAGCTGAGACAAGTTGTTAATCTTTTTTTTTTTTTTAAATACCTTTTAAGAGCAATTTTAGATTTATGGAAAAGTTGAACAGAAAGTACAGAAAGTACTCATATACTTCCTACCCTCACACACACTCATAGTCTCTCCCACCACTGTCAACATCTGCCATGAGAATGGAACATTTCCTACCCTCAGCAAACCTACAAAAATGAAGCATGTTATATCCTCGCCCCCATTCCCATCCACACCAGACACTGCTGGTACTATCCTTAAGGAAATCTTCCACCTCAACAGACCATCCAGGTCCCTGATCTCTGGCCACAGCTTCACACCTATGTTGCAGTTTTAGAAGATATGGTTCAATGCCCCTTGTTCTATTCTGGGAGCTTTACATGTAGGGAGTGTAACGGACATTTGTTGGCTGCTTCCTAGCATCTATTTCACCTTTCCTCCTTCCCAACAACCCATTTCCATTTGGAGATCTGAGAGGTTCCTGATCCTGGTTTCCAAGAGTGGAGAATGTGACCTAATCTACTTAGAGAAGGATTCTACCTCCTCGGTTAGATGATGGCTCAGGGTTAAGCATATGACCTTAAGCTGGTTGTATCAGGGCTTTTGCGAGAAATGCTAGACAAATCCAGCTCTTGCTGGATGGAACACGTAACCCAGTCACTGTAGATGGTCTTCTTGAAATTAGGAGAGATGCGAGCATTAGGATGAAACCAACATCATAGGAGATAGAGCAGAATGATAGAAATTCAGTCATTGCTTACATCACTGAGCTGTAGGATCAAGTATCACCTGATGCCAAGAAAGGCTCTGGAAACTTTGTAGGTACATGAATATATGTATTGCCATTATTATTATTTTTTTTTTATTTTGACAGCAGCCTGTATCTGTATGCCTTTATTATTTAAGCCAGTGTGAATTGGGGTTTCTGTTGTATTTGAAAGAATCGTAATAAATGTATAAAGTAATAACTGATTTAAAATAATATGTATAGGAGATGAATAATCTTTAAATATGCCTATTTAAAAGCTTTTTAAAAATGGAAATTATCAAATATACATAAAAATAAAGAATAGTATGATGAACCCCCTGTGGGCCTCAAAAATTATGAACATTTTGTCAGTCTTGTTTCATTTATCCCCTCCAGGGTTTTGTTTGTTTGTTTGTATTTTGTTTGTTTTGAGAGTTATTTGTTTTGGAGCATTTTAAGGCAAATCTCAGGCAGTATAATATTCATTTATAAATAGTTCAATTTGTAAGAGAGAAGCAATTCTTGATAATTTCTGCCCTAAACTATCTGTGACTAAGAGCTCCCACTCCACGGAGGAGGCTGTCATTCCCCCAGGAACAAGGTTAATTGAGAAGAGGGTATCTGCATTTCTCTCCCCCAGAGGGTAACCAAAACTTGACCAACAACTTCTCAAGATGGCTTTGCAAGTGGACCCTCTTGGCCTCCTCCCTGGGGTTCCATTTATGAGAACACCAGGCATCCTAAATGCCTCATAATGAGGGTGGTCCAGAGGGATTATGGATGCCTGTAATGATCACTAGAGCAACTCATTAATAACTTGAAACTACATGATCTACTGTTGCACTTTTAACAAGCCCCAGAGTGATTCGCTCATTGAGTTCAGTGGCATCAGTTAATTGTTGGTTTCCTGGAGCCTTAAAGAACAAAATAATAATAATAATTACCCTCAAATATATATAGGGCATTTCCCTAGGAGCTCAAAGTA